GGTCCTCCCTCCTCCCTTTTTTAAAGATGGGGACCACGTTGGCTATCTTCCAATCATCTGGCACCTGGCCCGAGCACTATGAGCGCTCGTAAAGCCGTGCCAAGGGCCCTGCAATAACCCCAGCTAGCTCCCTCAACACCCTGGGGTGGAGAGCATCTGGACCCGCTGACTTGAACACATCCAGCCCCTCCAGAAGCTCTCTAACCTGGTCCTCCCCAACCTGAGGTCTGGAGGCGTTCCCCTCAAGTCCATCTGGCATCACAGCGGGGAAAGTCCTGGTCCCTGCACGAGAAAACGGAGGTGAAGAATTGGTTAAAGAGTTCCGCTTTCTCCTCTGGCGCAACCACCAGATTGCCCAGCGTACTTTGCAGGGGCCCCACATTACCCGCTGCCTTCTTCATCCTCCCTATATATTTGAAAAAGGACTTTTTATTATCTTTGATCATGGACGCTAGCCCTAGCTCTATGTCCGCCTTAGCCTTGTTTGAGCAGTTTACATCAATTGCACCCTGGGCCATGGAGTCCAGTCCCTTGCATATGCAGGCAAGTGTTAGCTCAAGGAATCCCTGAAATCACTGCTTCGGGCACACACAACTCCACAGCACCCAGAACAGCAACCCCACCCTATCGCATGCCATAGGTAGAAGTAGGGGAGAAGCCTAGTTACTGCCATGCCAGTGCAGCAGCAGAGAAGTAATTGGTTCATTCTAGGAAAGGCCTATGCCCCATGCTACAGAGACAGGCAAAACATCTTGCAGTCTGTGCCAGTCTGACTTTGGGGTAGAATTCCTTCCTGACCCCAGACCTGGCCTTCAGTCCGCACTGTGGCCCCTGGGTCTTTTTGTTCCTATAGGAGACAAACTGTAGATCACCCCCTGAGCCAGAAGTACGCTCGCTACCCACTTCTCCACCCCCACGTAAGTCTGTACACATCACTGCTATGCAGTTAATGCTATGCTCTTCCAATAGTCCATAATTTCAGAGTAACAGTGAGCAAAGGGTTGAAAAATTGATGAGGTTTGAAACCCTCTGTGGGAGGCCAGTAGGGGGCGCTCCTGCGTTGAGCCACCCACCTCCCTGCGTCCGACCACCTTCCCGGCCCCGAGCGCCTCCCTGGGGCACCTCGCGTCCGGCTGACCCCCTTCCAGGAGCACACTCACTAGCCTGGGGGTAGTGTAAGCTGCCACCACCCCGAGAAGGGACTCTCGGCCCTGTGTCCTCAGGGAAACACAGGCCTAATAGTCCTACAGGTGCTCAACCCAGTACAGGCGCTTGGGGCACTTCCCCAAGTCGGGGGCCAAAAAGGAAAGTCTCCCTTGG